AGCGTTTAGACTAACTGTCAATCTGAAGCCTGACAGAGTTCTGCCTCAGCTTTGAAAAGCACAGTGTGAGACTTCTTGAAATGGCTTCATTATCAGAGGGTAGGTATTTAAAAGTGTTTTGGAAGTTAAAAACAAAGGTGTCTAAAAGACAACACAAGGAAGTGGAAGCATCCCAAGTTTCTAGCTACACTTTCACATTTAAGCTCAGGTCCATCTACAGCCAAGCAGAGACATTACAAGAACAGAAAATGGGCAGACCAGGAAAAGCAGTCCATCAGGCTGAGCGTGCCTGTACTGTAATCACAGCAGAGATCCATACAAACATTAGACTAGCTAGTTCAGGTGCTGGTAACGCTGTAGCCATGGCAGCACAGAAAATTAAAATGCTTACACCATCCCTCTCAGTCTCACCATAAACTGGTGTATCTCTTAATTGCTAATACCGTATTCAAGCTTTTCAGCGCCAAGCTCCACTACTTGCAGGCTCCAGCTGGAGCTCCATTCCGATTGGAGGCAGAAGGGAGAATACAGCTATTTCTTTGTAAGTCACAAGGCTGCAGAAAGAAATTTCCAATGAACAAACAAGCAAAAACAACCACCTTAAAACACCACCAGCCTTCCCTCCCAGCCCACTACTACTTTGGCAATCTGGCATCTCTTCGGTTTTTAAGAATAGCTCTCACCATTTCCAAGCAGGAGAGGCAAAAAAAATCAACAATGCTTATGAGAACAAGTATGGGTTACATCTATCATCTTGATTTAGATGCAAGTGACTTAAACAAAATACAGCTACATTCAGAAAAGATAGTTATCTGTATATTCGCCCACTTCAGAGAGAACAAGCCACATGCTTATTTGATCTGAACAGTCTCTTGTAAGAAGGGAATTCTGAATGTACCAGTACACAACTGGTCTGACCAGGCAGGAAGTTCATGTTGCAAAGGAGTCCTCCTTGGATAAAACGTGTAATCAAGCTCATAGTTCAAGAGACAACTCAGCGACGCCATGTAGATATCAGCAAATCTAGACAGACGTCTTAGGAAGTAAGTTGGATTCTCATCAGTTCTGAATAAGCTTCCAAACTGTGCGTTGAAGAAATTCCTGTTCATTTCCCTGTCCCCCAAAAAAGAAAACACAAGGAGAATGAAGGGAATATATGCGCACACATCTCTACCAGCTGTCTTCCAGAACCTGAAGCAAGCAGTTCCAGTAATCTATTCTGTGCATTATTCTCTTCCTGGTGCACTACAAGCCACCTAAACACACCACGTAAGTTTTCTATATGTAGCCCAGATCTAGTTATTGCAGTGGTGAACAGACAAGCTTCATGTTTCTCCCACTAAAAATAGTGGCAAGCTGCTTCTGACTTTGGAAACACGGTAACTCAGGCTTTCATTTCTGGAGAACGTGAAAGAAAGCTTTTGTCTGCATCTAAATCCTAACGATATCCATCTGTCCCAAACACATAAAAAGGCTAAAAATATGCAGAGATTTGGCTTAACATTCACAAAAAGCTTAAACATATCTTGGAATTAGCTTGTATTACCAGTCGCTGCCAAGTATCACTCCCATTTTATTTGCTTCCACCTGTTCTGGAGAAGGTTGCTGTTGGTATTGTTGCCATCTTTGCCAAAGGCGTGCTTCACACGCTCTGTATTTAGGGACTGTTCCTTTATTATAGCAGATTTTTATGAGTTTTAGCCTTGTCACCTATCTCTGTGAGGAATCCACCGCTAAGTCCAGTCTAGCGCAGAAGCCAGTTTCCTGAGACGTATTACATATAATTAGAACAAGTCATCTAAAAAACTGAAGTGATTTAAGTGATATTTCCTAGATATAGGAGCACATGTTTAAATTTTGTAGAAGTTAACCTGTGTAATCAATAACAATGGTGATAGCTGAATGTAGCAGAGGGACAGGAGAATGGGACAGAGAAGGAATAGTATTAGGCCTGATGTTACCCTTTCATGCAGAAAACCAGTATCTGTTCTGCTGAAAGGGAAAAGGGGTTCATGTGCACAAAGGATCGGGGGGACAAGAGCTGTGCAAGAGAGAGGTAGAAAATTGCTTTACAGAATTAATTGTAGAAGGTGGGTAACTATTGAGGAATATAAGTCAGGGATGGAGAAAAATTCTGAAGAAACCCGTGTAAGACATCACAGAAGACTTGGTTACGACAAAGCACATTGCAAATACTTGGATCTCCCGTTTCTTACCTCATATCCTTTCTTTCCTTCTTCCATTCTTCTAAAATCAGTTGTGAATCAGGATCACGGTGAACCTGGAACATAAAACATGGATGACAAGTAACTAATGATGCCCTGGCAAACGAACCTCTCCATTAACAAACCCTTATCAGCTGACAGGACAAGAGCAATACTTCAGAAATCCTTATATGGAAGTTACCCAGATGCATTTTAAACAACCAAAGGCCATAATCAGTCCAGGGTGATCAGCAGTGGAGGAAGGAGACAAGAGTTTGAAAAAAATTCTCAACCTAGTTGCCAAGTATTTGCATTTATTTATCTACAGTCAAACTGAGGAACCTAATGAGACAGAATATACTTGCAATGTCAACATCTAGCACTTAGCAACTTCGCTGTACCCCTTCTGCTATATAGAACCGATTACACATACACAGAACAAACCTGCATGTGTTCCAGTAATCCAGTCAGGGTTTGTAGCCAGGTCATGGCTTGAATGTACCTCTCTGTGTTCATGATTTTAATCTCCGATCGTAACTCTGGAATAATTGCACCAGTGCGCCAGCCATGCTTCAGGGTCAAATCCTGTTTACCAAGAATTACAAAATACAAGTATTAGAATTTGATCACCCTTTATCTCAAAGGGTATTAAACTAATTGCTTCTTATGTATAAGCAGAAATATTAAGCAGTCGGATTTGAACTGTGCCAACACGCAGCAGATTTTAGAGCAAGCTCCAAACACCACACTTTGAGGCAGAGAGAACAAAGAACACCCAAGCACCTGCAAGTGAGCACTAACTCATTAGGTTTAAAAGAAACAGTAGGAAATTTGACTGGCAGATGAGACCTTGCTGCTGTCAGAAGTATCTGCAGGAAACTGTTCATTGGGGTAGTGCTCTTTTACCCTTACACTCGGCTGACAAGAGGGCTCTGTTAGGATTGCCAGCTGGTCAAGCTTCCCCCAACAAGGATGGGGGAGGCAACTGCTACCCATGCTCTTTCCTCCATCACATCCGAGAAGAGCAGAACCACCCTCTTATTCCTTTGGCTCTCAGTCCGCTAAAGTGCCCACGCTTAACTTTTTTTTTCCCCCCTTTTTCCCCCCCCCCTTTTTTTTTTTTTTTTTTTAAAAAAGATTCCCCTGCCTATACTTAATTATTTGCTTATCAAGCAGGTTGGGGCAAAAATTTTGACTTTTTTTCTGCTGAAACATGATAGCTCTTCCAGAGCTTGGAAGAGGCTGACAATCACTCATGTAAAAGGAAACTCATACCCAAGCATTCACAGTCAGTCAATTACAGAAGAGTTAAGCAGTGGCAACTTACTCTGAGGTAACAATTAACAGTATATTTGTTTGCAAGGCAGTACAAAAAAGCCTGGATAGCTGGGCTAAAAATCATAGTAAGATCTCGGGAAGAAAGTTTACCATTTGTGACAGGAAGACTGTCTCCTGCCATTCAAAACAGAAGTCTAAACATTTAGCTCTTATTATAGTTGGTAGTAAATGTCATCCACATCAGCCACATGCTGCACGTTAGGATATCCGTGTTCACTCTCTGTTACATCTGACACAACCAGTATCTGGAATCAGGAATACGACCTGCACGTTCCTGGGCTCAGTTTGTAAACAGGTTAAATGATACAAGTAAGGTGGAAAAATATGGTCAGCCTTTTAGGGGACCAGTTCTCTTAACCGCGAGAAAAGTATTATGGCTTAATTACTGACTCAGATTCTGTCACACTTAGAAATCTCAAATGAAAGAGTATTATATTGAATTGAGGGCGGAAAGAGAAGGAAACAAACAAAAAGCCTCATCTTTTATGCTATTTCATGAGAGGGAAACTACTTACTGCCAAGTCACTGTAAATGTGATCACCGAAGTACAGAACCTTAGAACCTCTCCAGCCAGTAAGCTTCAGAAATTCATACAAGTTACCCTGCAGAAAGGGACGTGCACGCTGTAGTAGTATGTAACTTGCAAATTCACAGACAAAACAAACGGTTAATACATATCTAAAACTATTTCAAGAATACTGTCCTCAATTTAACTATTATGAATCCCAAGGTCTATAGGAAATTTCAGTAATACTATTATTTTCACGTGCACTTTAAGAGACAAGTAAACTGCACACACACAATACTAACGGTGAATCTGTACTACTGCTTAATTGCAAGAATAATCCTCTTAAATAATGCATCTATTTTTTTTAAATACCTTTATGACAGCTAAAGAAGCTTTGGGTTCTAGGAAATAAAGTATTAAATTTGAACTGAAACAAAAGTTTACTGAAGGCGTACCTGTTTGTAAATCTGGCCTTTCTGCAATTTGTGAATTTTGTCCCAAAGCAACACTCCCCTTTCATTCACCTTCCGAAAAGGTCTAGAACAGAATTGAATAGAATTGTCACATTCCTGCAGAAATTTTGTCACTTTTTAGGAGGAGATTAGAATTTTACTATTAAAAATATTCAACTTTTAATTGAAAAACATGCTCTATACCATCTGAACATTCTGTAGAAGCCAGAAAAAGCAAAGCTCCATCAGCTTTAGCCAGGTAAATGAAATGCTTCTATCCAGTGTACTGATGACTTTTGTAACAGAGTCTGAGAACAACTTTTGAGAACTAAGACAGGGAACTAGCCTTCCCAAACAGAAAGAACAGTGCTGATGATCTGTCATGAAGAAGGAAAGAAGAGACCACGAGAAGAATGAAAGAAGGTTTTGCTCAGTACCTCATGTTATAGGCACAAAGTGGAGGGATTTTAAACAATTGAAGAAGGCGGAGGGGGAGAAATGACAGCAAAGAAAAGTTATTTTTAAAATAAAAAAAAAATACAGTAATGAAAAAAATATCCCATTTCTTTCTCACCTTCAATTCATACGTACACATAAAGGAATAAGTCTTTTTCAAATGTCAAAGTAGAGCATACACATTAACAAATGTGTTTATTTAACTGACGAGATAGTTCAAAGACTCCAGCTCCTGTCCTTTAAATATCATTTGTAACTAACCGAAAACAGAAGCAATAAATAACGTTTCCAGAAACGAGAACTGATTCTGAACGGTACCAAAGTTTTTCTAATTTAGTAGGAAAGGAATACACCTCAACAAAACGCAGACTAAAGGTGTTAAAAAAATGGTTCCTTGGCAGTAACTCAGCCCAGTAGGCCTTTAATAGCTACTGGCACTTTTTCCAAGTAAGAAATGGTACTATATGGACTTCAGAATTGGGTGTTTCTGTGTTCTGTCGTGACCCTAAAAAGGATTTCATCAAATAAAATTTCATTTGACATTGCATTCAATTTAAAGTATTTCATAACATGCTTTACAGCCTTATATGGAATGAATTGCTTTAATCATTCTTTACTGACGAAATACTCACCTTCGCTTATCATTGAAGAAGTTTGGCTTATCAGCTTGTACAATGACAACATCAAAGAGATCCCTCCAGTCCTTGCCTACTATAAACTTCATGCCTTTGTCCCTAAAAAGGACAGAGGGATATTAACAGTGAAGCATAACAGCAGTGCACTTATCTATGCAATATAACAAATTACATCAACATCTCATCCTCCCCATCCTTTATAACGTGTAGCTGAACAGTGACTGTTCACTTACACAAAGCTGCTGGGACTGTTTGTAACGAGAAACATCTTCTTGCCATGATCAGCCAGCTTTGCTAACACTGCCCGAGTTTGTTCGGCATAGCAGATGTATTTCTCTGTTTGGGTGAGGGAAAAGAAAATATTAATTTAACAACAGCAACAGAAACAGCCATTCAAGAGAACGTTTTCCTGTGTTCAGTCAAGGGTTCAGAGCACAAGCTTATACTTTAAAAAAAAAAAAAAAAAAAGCACCTTGAACAAATAGAAATACCTCTTTCATGCTTTAAAATTTAGAATTTTAATCTTATATAAGGAAGCCATAAAGGTCATTCTACTAGTGGGGCAGGGGGAGAGGGAAGCTGACAGGTGATCTCAATAGTACTTGCCAATATCTGCTTCAATTGCTCTGTACATTATTCCCTTGATGTGGACATCCCGGATTGAATCCTGCCAGGAAAGCAACAGAGCAGTAAAGAACTGAAAAAAAAAAATCTTTTCAATTATAAAAAACCATGCCCACTGCATAATTATACCAGTTTGCTTTTATAACAATTACTTTCTCTGGATTACACCTTCAGCTTTAAGGAAACATAATATGCTATTAATTATGTAGACGTCACTACTAGACAAAGAGTAAGCTTAATCTCCTGGGAAATAACTTTAGACTTTGGGGAAGTACAGAACTCTATAGCACAGGGACTGCCTTATATAATGACTGCAAAAGAGCTCAGAGGGGTAAAGTGGCATGAAAGCCCTCCATAAAAGCAGAAGCATCACAGATTTCTAATGACCTTTGGAGCAAAACACTTTCCCTTTCTCTTGCAAAAAAACCAAAAGCTCTCAGTCAGATAGTTTTCAGATTATGATCACTCCTAAATAACCCATCATTTAAATAAGAAAGATTTATGAACAGATGAAAGAAGCTAAAAGCTTAAGCAAAGAAACCATAGGGAGCTCTGAAGGCATTTGGCAGCTCTCCTGAGCTGGCTCTGCACCAGACTCCTTTGTTTAGGACAGTCATACTGCGATGTTGGTACTTCGGTAGGGTATATCCTATAAATTCTCACAGAATCTTGTTATGGGGCTTCCAAAACATTGGTAATGCTGAGCAATTAAAAGTACAGACATTTTTCCAGCACTTCAGCAGAAGCCACAAAAGCTAAAGCTTTGAGAAGTCTTCTGACTCTATGCAAGCATGTGTAGAAGCAAAGATTAATTCAGCAGTCAGAAGTCTGTTAAAGCCTATCTGACCTATTTGGACAAGTGAGAAATTCAAGAGCATCATATAGGCATAAAAACCATACAAGTTTAAGACACATCAATAAGGGCTGTGAAAAGATTATGAACAGAAGAATAGTGCAGACAACAATACCATTAAGCTACTTAGGCGCGACCTTTTCTGTTCCTAAATAACCATGACAATTGTATCTCCTCTATAGGATACATCCTTAGGAATCAAGAGGATGAAATTCCTCTCATCGTTACCACTAAACTTTTGCAGGCAGGAAGAGAGGAAAGAGGGAGGAAGAGATACCAGAAGCAAGAGAAAGCAAGTGATTATATATTAGTGAAAATATAGAGAGAACACAGCTGAAACCTTTGTACTAGGGTTCCCTGCAGCCCCTTATTTTTGCTGTTGGTGAGAAAAGTATACCTTTAAACATCAAACAAGAGAAGCTTTATCAACCCAAGAGCTTCTTCACTTTCCTCCCATTTCCCTCAAGCTTACGAGAGAGCAGCAGCCCAGAATGTGTCAATTTTAAAGTAAAATTCCAAAGTATTCTATGGCTTTTTTTCAAGGTCTACTATCATTTTGTTTACATTTTTATGGTTCTACAAGAATGATTACTCTATACAAAAACTAAAGCTCAGATATTTGACTGAAGATGACACAGCAGGCTGAGGCTTCCTGAAGTCCTCATGGAGGAGATTCACAAATGTAAAGGATTACCTAAACTTCAAAGTTAATACCTTGACATCTTTGTACAGATGAACAGGCTCATAGTCTATGTTGTTCTTCAGAAAATGTTCATTCACACAAGAAAGGAGTGTCATCTCTGGCAAGGAGAATATATCCATGAATTGCTTCATTGTGTTTCCTTGCGAGCTCTACAGGGGGAGAGGAAAGAAAGACAGAAAAGTCAGACATCTCTCAGAATTATAGACACCTTTTCGTTTATTTAATGAACTTTTGTTCACTTAATACTCAAACTTCTGCGTGGTTGCAGATATTCAGCTTTTGCCATCACTGTTTTCACTGGTTTTGGATTCTGTTTGAACTAGCAGACTTTCAATACAACAACGCCAAAAATATGGTTAGATTTATTTTAAAAGTTAATCATTAATAATCATTTTAAAAAACATTTTAATTCATAAACAATATAAAAGCCAGCATTCAGCTAAAAGACAAGAAAATGCTTGGGAGACCTTTTTCTTGGAGGTTTACACTTCTACAAGTAAAGGGCACTGGGTATTAAGATGAGGGAGCTGAGGGGGATTTTGTTGTTTGCTTGCTGACTAAGTGAAACAATGATTAGGGCTGCAGAACAATTTGCCTCCTTGAACAAAAGATAGTTTAAAAAAAAATGAAGAGTTTACAATAACTAAAGCAGGATGGAAGAAAAGATTTATAGTCTGTTAAAGCTGTAGCTACAGTTAAGTTTCACAAAAATTGAGCTGAGGCTCTCACTATACAGGAATAAACACAAACCACATCCTTCCAGGAGAGGAGGACCATGTACACAGAGAATAACTAGACCAGTGTGTGCAGTCTTGAGGAAAGATGTCAAGATCAAAGAAAGAATAGCTCCTCGGAGATCAAGGCATCCCATGACAAATGCCAGACACATTCTGGATGGCTTCAGCTGCTAAAGAGACCAGCTCTGGGAATTCTAATTTCATTTCCTTAAAGTAAGAGCAAGCGTGAGTACAACAAAATGCTCCACAGCAGAACGAAGGATCTCTGCCTGCCCTGGAGATCCTTCAAAAAAATCAAAAAGCAAAGTTCTGAACTTAAAAGCTTTATCTTATCATTTATCTTTGTCAAATTCTTTCACTGTCACTGTATCAGCTTGCCTATGAAAGATGCCCTATTTATTTGCTGCTATATCAGCTAAGCCATGAAGAAGTATGGAGCTTGGTAAGGCACCAGATATGGTTCACTTCCCAGGCTTTATTAGATTTTGTGTGCAACAATGAGCAAGTCACTTGATTTTATTATGTTCCGTTTCTCTCTCTCTATATGATAGAGAGTGGGTGAGGGAAGAATGAAAGAAGAAACTACAGCAAATGCAAGAAGGAAAGGGTATTTGTCATTTTAGATATCAAACTCTGTATCAAGCACCATAAATCAATCAGATATTGACAAAACGTAACTGTTAGCAGCAACAAGATCAAAATACAAGTCAAAAAAAAAAAAAAGAAAAGAAAAAGTCATACAGAAGTTTTCACCCATACAGAAGGTTTCATTTTTAAAGAGTACTTTGTGTTTTTACCTTTCCATAAAAGTCACTCATTTGTTCCAAGGGGACGTGGGAACCATCATACATCGCAATGACTTCTTCATCTGGGACAACACTGAGGCCTCTGGCAAACATCATTAGCTTTAGTTCAAAAGTCGCATTAAAATTTTCAAGTAATTACTGAACAAAAGCCTGACATTAACACTTGAATCTTGAGCTTCTTAAAACACTAGTAATGTCATAGGAACACTTTGGTCTGTAAGTTAAGACAGCATCTTTCCTTACAGAACAAGTAACATTTTAACAAGCTGACGCACAGGGAACACATTCCAATTTTAAGTTCTTTTTGCTTTCTTAAGGAAAAAAAAAAACCTAATTAGTCTCCATTGAAACTCTGCCTCAAGGGTTTCTAAGCAGTTAGAGCTTCCAGCTTCTTAACATAAAGTAATTCCCCACTCTGCCTGTTTCATAAAGCATAGATGATGTGATAGTGTTTAAACCAGATTATTCTGCAGCATGACCTTGAAGATCTAAGGGAAAGCAAAACACACACAACCTCTAACTAAATAACAAGAATTTGTTTTAAAACCTATGAACAGTTCAGCTTCCCAAAATTCTACATTACTTGAAGGATTGCTGACAAGTAACTAAAATATAGAAGTCTAACAACAGATGGGGTAGGAGGAGAGACATCATCTGTCCCCAGAACTTCTTTATCAACTACAGAGAGATTAATACTTTTGTCTGCTTTGGGTTTTTTTTTTGTTTTGTTTTAATTTACATTTATAGTATCAAGCATCTTGTACTACAGCATTTAAAACACTGCAGACGTGAGAGTAATACTCAGAGGACACAGAAGTGGGGTGGAGGGGATAGGTTTTGCTTAAAAAACAAAGAACACAAATGAAAACCAGATCATCTGATCCCTTTTTCCAAGCCTACTTAAGATTTTTTTGCAGCACTTCATGCAAGACAGTCGATTCCAGTGCCTCCCTTTCTTTGTCTTACCCCAAAACATTGCAAGGCGTTTAGAAAGATAAATGAATAAACCCAGTGCTTTCAGTGACAGAGTTTACGCTCACTTTGCCGTGCAAGCGCATGATACATGAGCTTCCTCAGAACTGCTATGATAGCGGAGTCCCATGTTACCTAGCTCTTTTACCGTACATCTCAGAGCTATATTGACTTGTACATAGCTCTGTGCTACCGTGCGTAGATGCTGGGGTCCTGCGTGAGTCTTGTACACAAACAGGGCAGCTATCTCTATATGTTCCAAAAACAAACTATTCGGTGTCACCCTCTTTGCAGCAGGAAACAAAGAGAGAGGTCACTAAAATGTTAAATGTATACCAAGCAATACAATCAGAATAGAGCAAGACCGGTTCATGTTCTAGTCTGCAGATAGCTATGCCAAATGGTATTTGAATACTGCTAAAAAAATCTCTTGTACGTCAGGAGTTATTTAAGCACAAATCAAAAGAGGACAATAGACATTTGTGAAATCCAGAGAACAGAGAAGACTGTGTATGCAAAGCTGTAGATTAGTTTTGCCAAAAGACCCATAGTCTTGATACAGTTCATAGTCCAGCTGTATAAATGCAAACCTTATTTTACCCCATTCAGAGCACTGATAGAAGGCACTAAAAAACACCACAGTTCATCTACAGTAGTGCTCCAATTGTTGCTCTTGGAGATGTGCGTTGTTAGAACGACACCAGAATCGCTTATATTTCTCAGTGCAAACGAGGTTGTCTACTTTAGGCAAGTTTTTTGCTACTTCTAGTAGTACAATCAACATACACATATACACAGCACATGCAAGGTTAAAACTCAGAACTAAAGATATGCTGCAAATAACGTAGCTATTCTTCACATCAAGACAGTGCGGAAGGGAAAGGTGATCTACTTTAAACAAGACAGAGAAAGCATACAAGTGAAATGATAGTTTCTCTTTCTCTCTCACACACACGCACCCCCCTCCAAGCACCAAGATGTGTGACCAAGTAGCCTGTCCAGGATTGCTTCGGGTGATGTGGAGGACAAGGGACAACAACTATTCAGTGAGTTTCGGCACCTTTTCTGGAGTCTTCTTGACTGGCGACCATGTGCAGGCTTTAGACATGCCTTCATACTAGGAGTTGACAGCAACTGGGATCTTTTGCCTCTTCACCCTGTCCCACTCTGTGGGTCATAAGGCAACACTGCTGATAACTCACTGCCCACTCGTCTTCTCAGCTGGGTTGTACTACGGCTCCAGTTGCACCATGGCTCTACCTGCCATCTTCTCCCAAAGACTTCAGCCTCTTTTTGCTCCCCCCATAGGACTGTTTGGAAAAACAGCATGTACATGTGCTGATATCTTGATGACCAGCTGCCCCAGATACCATCAATGCATGCCATTCTCTTATCCCTTCTTCTATCATTTCTTCCCATGCTTTCACACATATACATTTCCATTCATACTTTACCCATACTAATCTTAGTATTTCTATTACAAACCTCTACAAACAAATGCATCTCCAAATACTTCAGCTAGCCTTTCATCTAACAAGCTATCATTTTTCCAATATTCAGGACTGACCTAGCTGCCTCTTTAAAAACAAAAACAAACAAAAAGTTGCTCAGTTCCAAGAATAATTTCAGGACTATACTGTTTTCCCTACGCTCAAGAACATCCCGACATGAAAATCTGCTCAATGAATCGCTAACACAGAACCTGAAGCTTTAGACCCACTGGATGGTCTTTATTTTAAAAGCATCAGAGTTTAATTTTTTGTGTCTTCATAGACAGTTTTTCCTTTCCCTAGTTGGGAAGGGGCATTTATACCTTTTTTTTTGGGGGGGGGGGGGGGGTAAATAAAGCTGACAGCCAGTGACCTTCACTCTGAGTTGTCTGCCTCCATCTTAACCTTGTATAAATTATTTCTAAGAAAACCACAGCAACCGGTTTTGTCAGTTGAAATACACAAGACTTGTTCTACATCAGTTTATATAAAACACATGAATAAACGGTATGAAGTTTCACTGGGACTCTGATGACATACACAGAACACGCATTATTTTAGCGGTTTTAGATAACTACTATGTTGACAGTTACTAATTAGATTATGCCATCTTCTTTCCTTTTTTCCCTTCCTCTCCCAAAGATGATATAAGAGACTAAGTTATAAAAGAACAGATCACCTACTAAGACTAAATCATCGACCTATCTGCCTAACAGGCATACAGAAGGAAATGAATCTTCTGTGCACTTTTATTATTTTATATGATGATACATACTCACCAACTAGCCCCCCTTGTAAATCACTTCAAAATCGCATCATCTTTTGGCCACAGGAAAAAAAAAAAGTGTCCAATGAAATCTAGTAAGGTGCTCAGACTTGTTTTTTAATTTAAAATACCATACAGTGCTCATGTCAGTCAAATACAGACTTCATTACAGCAAACCAAGCCATACTAAAAAATTGCATTTCTGTCCAAGAACACATACAAGTCTATACCATGGAATTCATTAGCACAGCACAGAGAATGTCAATTTCATATCAATTTAATAAGTTGAAAAAGTATCAGGTTGTGAGGACACACATCTGTTGTGCTCCAACCACACCACACTCCCAAAATTCTGTTTCCAAATTAATAAGCTCTGTGCAAATACAGCAAGGCCTCTCAAGTGTCTCTGCAACAACACTATAGTCATGCTAACGGGGACCCTGTGACAATTATTTACACAGAAAGCAACAGTGGAGAAGTCATCAGTGTATTTGTAGATGTCTTTCAGCACGATTTAACAGCCGGAAACGAAGTGAGTCAGCACTACAGGACCACCAGCTTGCCAACTTCCCCAGCTCTGAACTGGGTAATCAGGTCTACTGTATCAGTCAGTAAATGTGTGCATGGGTATGTGTGTATATAGAAGTGCAAAGAAACTCCTTCCAGTAAGATTGCAATATTCATTCACACTTGTGCTTTTCAGTACAGTTTCTAATATGAACCTAAAACGGGTAGCAATAAATGCAACTAGGAAACTCAAAAAGTGTACGTTTGCATTGTAAATAGGCAATAATTGCACCCACCTGTAAACTGTTCCCAGCTGAATATAATGAAAAGCATCAATCTTCATTAATAATGCCTAGGAGAAGGGAGGGGAAATCAAGACAGCTTTTATCACATGTCAATTATTTGATATTAAATTATAAAAATCAAAGCAATTTTATCTATAACCTTTCTGGCTCTCAAATGGCTGATCACCTTCAATTCCACTTCCTTCATAGCTTCCCAAAATACTTGATCAATGGCTTTTATCTAGGGCTTGCAAATCACTAGGAAAATACATTGTCCAATGACCTGAGATTAGCTAAGAATATCCTTTTCTAGTAACAGTGGCCTGCTTAGATATATTCTTTTTCACCCTTAAGTTGTTATATCAGAGAGAGAGAGAAAAAAAAAGACAACAAGACGTCCAAAATGCTTTATTCTAAGAGCTATAAAAAAAGTCAAGCTTGCCATGAAAAAGAAAACATGAAACAAAAGCATTACTCATCAACACACAGTGAGAAATTGGAAGACTTGAAAGACTTATTTCTTTGAGTAAGTTTTCAGCACTACAGAACTCACCACAAAGCTATTTATACATACCCGGTGCACATCATAATGAAGTCCTCTTATTGCAAAATTGGGATCATAATCATATTTTCGTATTTCTGCAGGATACTAAGGGAAAAGGGCAATGATTTTACTTTAAAAACTTAACACAGAAACAAATCAATACAATGTTTCTGCAGGAGTTGAAAAGCCTAAGTTTTCCACGCTTCTCATTTTCACTAATCATTAGAAGATGCTTTTTGATAGGCTGTGACATTTGCATGAACATACAATTACAGTAGGACATACAATTCAGAAAACTATTTTTAAAAAAATTCAAGGCCAAGTTTTCAAATGCAAGTCAAGTGCAGTGCCTGAAGCTGGACATCTAAGGAATCTGTTGTGATCATTTCTGAACATAAGCTCCTTATTTAAAAAGATATTTCAACATATGCACCTTTGAAAACATAAGCTAAATTTTATTAAATTCCTAAAATTAAGAAGCTGAGTTAAATTGTGTTGTGAAGTCTCCCCAAACACTGTCGGTAAGAGAAATAGCCTATATATGAACACAATTTCCAACTGTGAAAGTTTTGGCTAGAAACCAAATTATATGGCCTGATTTGCAGAGATGCCTAGAATTTACTGCTACTACCATGAAAGAAAAACCAATACAGTATCACTGATGTTAACAGGAGCAAGAAAATCTCTGGCATTTTCAAGACAGAAAAAAGCAGTTCTCTGTTTTGATTTTCTAGTTGCGGATCATAATCCTGATTTTAGACTCTTATGTATGAGACGCAGATGTCAGAGGCGCTTAAAGATACAGCAGAATGCAAATAAACACAGATGAGGAGGAAGGAAGAAGAGAATTCAAAAAGGCTAACGTTACCTTGAGAAGTCAGGCTCCTCTAATAGGAAATGAAAAGAGAGAGGCTCCCATAAAAGGCAATTCAGAGCAAGGGCCTAACAGAGAGAAAAACCTATCTTTTCCATTGCTTCCAAAAACAGTGAAAGGAGACTGGCCTTCCTAGCCTGAAGTCAGTCTTTGGGAATATGATCGGAATGGCTGCTAAATTGAAAGTTATCCACTACAGTTTCAGAAACTTTCATAAATCAGAGCTGAAGGCTCTGAAGGCTTCAGACGGACTTTGAAACTGCAGAAGTACAGCTACACTCATGAAGTGCAGTTAAACCTACAACAGACTTCAAAAATGCAAAGTTGGTGCTTGCAGCCTCTATCAAGGAAATTTTTATCTTGTGTGTTGTACTGCCGGATATATGACTTTATGGATAGAGAGGAAATCCTTGCCTGCAAAGGCTTCATACCCAGTCAGAGGTTTATCAGGAAAGTAAAACGCCAGTAAGACATAAATTCAAATGTCCAAATATCCCACCATGTGACATCCCATCCACTGAGGCTGCACCTCCCAACGGGACAGTGCATCACAAAGATCAGATCCTGAAACCAACACTAGCAGGCTGCGTCACTCCAGTAGAGCATCACGTTGATCCAACTATATTGCTCCTGGGGGTTCCTGCACTGTAGATACACCCTTGCTGTCCCAGAAAATTAGGTCTTTATAAAAATAAATAGCACTCCTCTATTTTAGTAGGTAGTTTCCCTCTCTCCTCCTGGCTCTACAGCAGAGAGACAGAATAGAAAAATATAATTATCAACAGTGTCCAAGAAGGGCACTTTCATGTGTACTTACTTTTGATGCAACATGTTTTTGTTTGTTTTAAAGCCAAATTCTCAAGACTATTATGCCTACAGCAGTGAAAAGTAGAAACAAAGAATTTGCAGTGCTATATGTTATCAGTTACAAGTTGGACACTGAATTGATGTATGCCAAGGCACATTTTATATGTTCCATTTTCTGTGCTCTTTTCTCACTACAAGCATCACCACTTACAAACATGTTCTTTAATGCTGAATAAGGATCTTCACAGATTATTTTTCAAAAAATTTGGGCTGCATCACTTCCTGGTTTTATGAACGCATAATCTCATTAGAGTGTACTCTGGACAGCATTCGTAACACCTTTTTGTTTAGAGATATACATGTATTAATTTCTGTGTCATGTACTCTTTCCTCAGGTTGTTTATAGAAAGCACAGGTAACTCATTGTCTATTAGAGAAGTTTTCTAACACTTTTCAGCTGATTGCAATTCTGTCAGGCCTTAAACATGCATTGACTAGGAAAAAATAATACCTGCCAGGTGCCTGCCTTAGGCCAAGGATTTTGTTCATCTGTTTTTAAGAGGTAAGATGCTTTTGTCATTTCTGACAAAGCTGGAGAAAACTATCCTTTTTTTTTTCTTTTTAAATTAAGCTAACTTAAAGGTGATCCTTCATTCCCTCACACTTTCTACAGAAGAGTCTCAGAAGTTGGCAAACGCATCTCAGGCACATTCTCGACCTTTTCTACGAAAGTCTCCATACATACATGACTAAGTTATATGACTTTGGAGGAAAAAAAAAAAAAAAAATCTATGCTGAAGTAGACTTGCTCTGCAACTGCTGTAGACTGACTGTGCTTGTGCACAGGTATCTAGAATTAGAGCAAATAACCCTTTCTCCTAGCTTCTCAGCTATCTTCTTTACTACTGGTTCCAGAAAACATGCAGGAAGTTACGGAATTTGAATGAAGAACAGCATTAAAAGCCTAAAACTGGTTTGGGAAGGTGTGTAGATTGGGCCAGGGAACTTGAAGCAGGAATGAGATACAAGGGAAAAATATATATACATCAGGGAAGGACGTAGCATGTGATCAACTAAAAACTACACTGTACTGCATATGCCTAAAAAGGCCAAATTAAGTATGAACAAGGAAATCTAATCAACCCCTTCAAACTTCTGCATGCTTGACTTTCCTACTTCAGTTTATGTTGGTGGAAGGCTATCTTTTTGAATGCATGTCAATATGTGCGAGAGAAAGACAAAGCCTCTCTTGGTACACAAACCAAAGTTTCCTTACAAGCCGAATAAAATAACGATGAAAATTGCACTGTTTGCTTACCCTCCACCATTCCTGGGAAGGAATGCATTATCTGGTCTGAAACAGCAGCCCAGATAAGGTAGCAAAAAGGCCCTTACATAAGGAAAGAAACAAACTCAAGAGCAAAGAGTTTAGATTCAATACCTGCTGCCACCTCTGAGACTAGCATTAAATTGTTCATTCTCTTAGACAGACTTCAAAAATCCTTGCTTCCTACACTATATTTCGCAATTTCTGATGTATTAGAGCACCATGCCATGACCAAAATTGGTCCTCTTTTTGACCGTAACAGAACGAGCAATACCATCTAAAAGCATTTTATAATGCTAAAGTCAAGAAAGACGTTGATAGCATAAGCAGCTAAGCAGGCTAGCATTAATGAAAACTATTGTCTCAATAAATTCCAACCTGAAAGGATAATTTCAGCAAGCTGTCTCAAAAAGTAACTATAGGTTCATTCACTAGAAAACAAGAGTTTCTAATTGAGACAAGAAATTGGAAAGTTGTGATTACCTGAATCCATTCAAATAATAAAGACTGAGCACTGTTTGTCTAAAATACTTGACTCCTTCTGCTACTATAATGTCAGATTTTACAAGAACCAGACGGCACTAATAAAGTTTATTTACACATTCTACAGAAATTGCTACCAAGACACAGCAAAATTTCAGGGGGATCTAGTTGTGTATGCTTGCATTGCCCATGAAGTTTTGTTTGCTCTTCCAGAGATATTTATAGATGTTTATATATAGCTCTTAACCTTTGGATTGAAACATGAAAGTAGAGTAACACCACCCATTCACATTCAGGTTGTGCAAAATACAAAAGTAATTGAATTGATTTAGTTAGTTAAGCTAGTCTATGGATTTTTGTTTTTTACTATTCTACAATTCCTGTAGTGCATTAACCTCCACGTTTTCTTCAGTCTCTTTACCTGCAATCCCTTCAGTTTCCCCCACATACACTGAAATACACCCTCCCCGCTTCCTGACACATAGTAACTTCTCACATCCCTAAACTGTACAGTAACCAGTTCCAAGCTACTTGGAGGTCGACTGGTCACCGGTACAAACATGCAACTTGGCCAGGCAACAGGTTAGTGCTCCCCTCAGGGGACTGCAGAGCTGAACGCTTATTTAGGACTCTCTCTTGGACCCAGCCACTGAAGGCCCTTGCCAACTCTGCCCCTCTAGGTAACTCAGCCGAGATGCCCAAAGCACATACAGCACCTGAGAGGCACACAGCACAATCAAATACCCTTCATCTCCTTAAGAAGTTAAGCTAAAAATATTCCATATGGAAATTAATCATTGCACTCACAGCAATGCATACAACAGAGTACCACCAACCTTGAAGCTTCTTATATATCAGGGTGACTCCAATAATAGGCAGTTAGGTAAAAAACAAAACAAAACAAAAAAATTAAAACACACTGTTCCTTAACAATTGCCAGACTGTTCTGCTCAAAACTACAGCTGACAATAAACCACGTAGCTGTTGCACAAAACGTGCCACAAGGGAGCTAAGCCAGGACTAAGCCGTGAAAAGATAAGCTAAGACCCTCTCAGCTAGAAATTACTCCTTATACTCTTTATTCATAAATGTTTATTGTTATTTCCTTCATTTTACTTACCCGGTGCTCGTTAATGAGAAGATCTCGTGCGGCATTGAAGATCAGTGTGTGTAGATGTTTAGAATAGAAGACCAAGGTGTAGTCATAATCAAAGCCATAGATTTCAATGTCTGACAGGCTCATTTCATTGTTTGAAAAAATAGCATCAGGATTCAGCATGTTACTCATAATTGAAGGAACTAACTCTGGGAACAGGGAAAGAAAAAAAAAAAAAGGGTTATGCCAGCCTTACAGTTTAAATAATAAATAAATAGAAATCCATTAGCAACTTCTAAACATAGATAAATGTTGATGGAAACCATCACATTGATTCACACTAACCATACCAGCCAACGTTTAACAATCTGATGCTATTGAAAATGTTGCCCCTAATTTGTCTTGGTGACCCACAGCTTTTATTTAAAGCATACTTCTGTTTGAACAGTTGAAGTAAGAGAATATACATTTCAGAATCATGCTTAACAGAGAACCCTAGGTCAAACATATGCATTTTTGCTAACTCCATTAACACACTTTTTTTTCTGCTTTTTGCAATGAGCTTTGGAGGGTTTTTTTCTAATTATTCTAGTAGCCTTGTCTTCTCCTCCCATTACTTGGGCCAGCTTCTGTGCCTGAATCGGAAGCGGCAGAACAGAGTTTTTTGTTTCCATTTCCTTTGCTCAACCACTTCCAGGTTATCATGCTGTTCAATTTCAACTCAAGTAAAATTTAAATGATTACTATACTTTCGAAAAAAGTTACATACGCATTACTATGCCTATCAACCTCCTGGAAAATCAGGAAACTGAAAATATTCTGCTTATTGTCTACACACATGTGCATCTAATGTGCCTAAATTACTTACATTTTTAAAGGTGTATTTCTTCTGGTATTTCTATTTAAACTGTATATTCAGAAACTGAGATCATTTATATATAATCATAATATATTTAGTAATTTTAGGACCAACATCAGCACCAGTATTAAAAATGTTTATATTTCTTGTTTAGAAAACTTGGAAGAGTAACATCAGGGGGCTAATGGTCACCTTCCTGAAATCATAAAATATGAGGAAGTTCTCCTTCCTTTCCTTCCCATACACTATCTTTCTCTGATTTACAGTTATGATCTTCCGATAACGATCCAGCCTTCTTAAATCTGTACTTGGAAGGGTAATTTTAAAGGGAACATTCTTTCCTGTGTTACTTTCCACACGTAAGCCTAGAAGAAAGCAATCAAGTGTATCTCAACACCTTTAGCTCTAAGGACAAATATACAACACGCTCCACCGTGGGAGGAAACAATCTCAACAGGCAGGTAGGTCTGGGTACTCAAGATCGTCTAGAAAGATAACGTTCCATTTTCAAAACTCTGGCCTATTCATAGAAAGGGAAAGAACATTTCTCCTGTAAAAGCAGTATCTTAATTAGATTGCTGCACCATTGACCAGCAGATGCAATACTAAGAAATTTACAGAGATGCCCAACAGAAGATGGCAATCTGAAACCACCCAGTTTTATCAGATGCATATACATTTTTTTTTAATTTAAAAAAAAAAAGTGAGAAAGAGAATAGTAAGCTCAATGGGTCAAATTTCTAGTTTCAAATTAAGTTCAGCATCTCTTTCACTGAAAGAGATCCCAGATGTTTATTACGCTTCAGCTGACAGGAAAAGCTGCATCATAAACAATCATTTCAGAAGATTTAGCAAAATAAGCTCAATCGAACCAATAGCTTCTACTCTTGCCAGATACTGCTTCGGGTAATACAATAGGTAGATATAGCGCTCCTTTGAGGTAATGGAAATAACCAAATGCAATTTGACACACTACTATTAAGGCAAATACTCATATTCTATAAAAAGGACCATTAACAATTTAATTAACTGCAAGAAGTCATCATCTTAAGTTTTATATGAACTACCAAAATCATGTTACAATACTCATTTTTATATTGCACTTCAAACATTTTTTCAAGTGTCAGTTGTGTAGTCTAGTTTTAAAATAAACGTTGATTCAACAAAGACATTCCACATAAATAAAATGACTTAATGGCTGCCTGAAAACAAGAGAGAGTATAAACAAACTGTAGCTATTAAACATTTTGGCTGGCGGACAGCATCCCAAGTGCTGTAATCCTTAGGTCACAAATCAGGACAGGTTTGTCATCTTAACACTATAACAAAATGAAACGTCAGATGTTTGAGCCCACTTTGGGGGTCAGGCTGTAACCAACAAAAATATTCTGAATTATCCTATGAACGCTTGTCTCTTCTTTCTCTAACGCACTCACGGAACTTGATTTCTCTTAATATTAAGAAACTATGTTCTAACTTCCGTCTGAAGTATTGTTTGGGTGTGGTTTGGGGAAAAAAAAAAGTTAGTTCCAAAAACAAGAAAAGAAACAAAAATTCAAAATAAAAGGCTTTTTCTCTCTCCTTTCCCTTTCCCTCATCCCACTCTCCAAAGCCTAAAAGGACTCTTCTGAGGTCTTCCACACGGCAAGAAAATTTCATCTATCTTATTTCATTTGTGAAACGCCGTCACACTGTTTTATGCTTGCACACTACCAGCACACTGAAGCCCTGGCTCACGCCCAAGAACCTCAGGTTGCGAGATGACATAAAACGCACTTTAAAAGGAGGCCAAAACGTACAAGGTGAAAGTATTATCCAGCGCGTACCGCCGCTACGGGACACACACCCTCTCCTTCTCTGGCGGCTCTCTAAGGACAGCAGGTATACCGCGCAAGTTGGTGCTACGCTGCCTTGGCGGTAAGGACAGAAGCAAGCGAGCGGAAAGAGCCAGCTTTCGGGTGGCAACTTCCACGGCCTGCCAGGCGCGAATCAAACAGCGGCCGCTTTCGGTCTCGGCGCGGGCTAAGTTACTTCTGCACGAACGAGGCACCGGCGTGACGGACGCCGTCCGGGCCCCTGACTTTTTGCCCAGCCCGGCTGAAGGGCAGGGCGGCGTTACCACCGCCGCTTCGCTCTCAGGAGCCCGCCCGGAGCCAGGCACTACCCCCACCCCACCCCCCCCCCGCACCGCCGGCCCC